TTCATGTTGTAGGATGGCCAGTGGTCCCAGCCAGCTCTGTAAGCTTTCTCCTTGCCATTCAGAGAAAAGGAGGAGGAGAGAGAGGAGGAGGGGAGGCGGAGAAGGAAGGAGAGGGGGAGAGAAAACTTCTTCCTTAACAACAAACAAAAATCTTTCCCTTATTTCTGATTGGTCCATCCTGGCTTCTGTGCCCATGGCTTGTCCAATAACTGTGTACCAAGAGAATGCCCAGTGCCAATTAGCTTAGGTCTGGGCTGCTGAATCAATCCTGGCAAGGGAAATGGGTTATTATTATTGGCTGAGACTAATCAGAGTCTACCTCTGGAGTTAAGTGTCAAGTTTTCAAACCACGTTGGCACTACTCAAGGAGGGGAGGGGTGCAATGGAATTTGGGAGGTCATCCACTATACCTACTACATATGTGCTCTTATCACTCTCACACTGCAGAAGAAGCTGAAGCTTAGGGAACAGAAGGGTAGTGTAAAAAATGGTCTGTAGCCAGCAGACAAGGGGGTTCAAGCCCCAGTCCTTCTGATGCTGATGGGGAGCCCCGGGTACCTCACTTCGCAACTCTGGTCTTCTGTCCTTCCTCGGCCTTCAGGTGGTTTAGCTCTATGGTACTTTCTGGTGTTTATGTTCTAGATTCAGACTCTATGACCTGTTCAAGCTCACAATGCCAGTAAGCTAAGTGCCCGGAACCAGAATTTGGTCAAATGGCCACACCCAGCTCAAGGAGGCTGGGAAATGTAGCCTCCAGCTGTATGGCTAAAATTTGGGGGTGATTCTGTTCTATAAAGAAGAATACATATTGAGACACAATACTCTGACACAACTTTTCTTTGAATAACATACTCCATTGGAGCAGATCTGAATAGTTAAAATGTTAACACATTTTATTTACTGATTCATATATTTCTCACAAATGCAATTAATAATGTTTTATTCCCAGATACAACATGTAGAGGAATAATAGTTTGAAATTTTAATTGATGTATCTTCATTCTTGCTAATTTATTTTAATCTACAGTCCTTCCTCTGTTAAAATTAGATTGTGAGGCTGAGCCTTATCTCCTCAGGAGTGGACTGAAATGTGGAGATAGAAATGAGCCAGTGTTCAGCTTTGGGTTTTGAAACAGACCTTTGAAGCTTATGGCAGAGGCAGTAACTTTGAGAGATAAGACTTTTTAAATTATAGACTGCTTGAAACCAGAAGCCCAAAGTTTATTCCCCAAACAGTAGTTTCTGAAGGAGTGCATGATGATGGAAGAGCTTGTTTTCCTACCCAGAAGGAAATAAGATATGTAGGAGGGATGAAGAGGAGAGATTCAGAGAGCTGGAAAGGGTCTGGGCTGGGACCTGAGCAGGGCTCTCCATCCTTTCCCGCATCCAGGGCAGATCCCCGGTCTGGGGAGGACCCTGGGCTGCTGGGGTTATCAGACTGGGCGGTGGAACCTGATCACCCAGGCGGCACCCCAATTTCATCATCACTGCCATGTGATTTGGGCACCTTCCTTCTGTGCCTGCACTTCCTTTCCTGTAAGGCAGAGATAACAATATCTACTTTATGGTGTTATTGTTAGGATTCAACGAATAAGAACTTACAAAATACTTAGAATAGAGCCTGGTACATAATAAATGCCCAGTAAATCTCTTGTTCTTATTAACATCTGAGAGGGGAGGGATCTCTATAAAGTTTCATTTTGTCTCCCATTTTTAAACTCTCTAATTACAGCATTTCTTCCACATTTTTTTTCAGTTACACATGATTCCGATGTTTTACACATGAGAGTTTAAATATTTTGTTAAGTAAATACTACTCATAGTGTATAACACTCTTTAATTACATACATTACGTTAGGTAATGACGATGTAGAAATTCTTACACTCTGAGAGCACTACATGAGATTCGAAATCTGTAGATCATGTTGGATGATACGCCTTGTAGAAATTGTAGACTTAATTTCAAAAAGGTTAAGTAAGGAAACATTCAAAGATGTATCCAACTCATAGCATACTTGTCACCAGCCATTAACAATGTTTTCAAGTCGACAGGCATGGCGTCCATCTATCTATGGATGCCTGCAGGTCCATTGGTTTGAGAGATTATGAAGAAAAGAGACCCCAATAAAATTTGGTAGAAACACATTTTGGGGGAAGATTTCCACAAGCACAGAACTAATCTGGATGATTTGGAAAGGATTGGCTTCATGCTGCCTTGAAGGTGCCATTGTGGTTGAGTCCAGGTCCACTTGATTGGGAGGGAAGGACATGGCTTCTGGGACAATCCCAGGGTCTTGTGTGGAGTGGTTAAGCCTTTCTTAGTAGTATTTCTTTCCCCTGTGCGCCACACACTCATGTGCACACACAAACACACAACCCACATTCCAGCTGGAAGCACGGTTTTCCCCCTAATCATTTGCTCTGGTTGCCATAGCAACCCTTATAGCCAAGTTCCTAGCTGAACAAGTTTTAGAAGACACCAGAATATTTTCCTGCACTGTTCTCACTGGAGGAACGGAGGCTGGATGGGGTGGAGATGGCTCAAAGAGTGGCCTGCAGTGAGGGCCGTGGAAAAGGGCCCTCAAAGACACCAAACCAGCTCCAGGTAGAGCCACGGTGGAGAAAGGCTGCCCGCCTATTTGGAGTGGCTCACCAGGCAAAAGTCAGATTGTATGTGGAACCCCCTCTCTGGACCCCACAGGGTGCAGGGCTCCAGGAGGCATGGATGGCTGTGTGCAGAGCCTCAGCTGCTGGTACCCAAGTGCTGGCTTGCACGCATGTTCTCTCCACCTTATGGCTGGCAGGGTTTGAGCTGGACACAAAACCTCCATCTCCAGCTGCTCGAAAAATCTAAACCGTAAAATCTCTAATAAGATTTCTGGTAAAAAAAAAAAATTGTGGTAAAAAATAGATGTTTCTTATTATCATTGCTTCTCAAGGCCTACTTGCTGCTGCTGCTGACTTAAACCAACAGGCAGCTCAGTTCCTCCATATTCCTTCTGTGAGCAGGACCCTGAGTGTGGCGGGGCCTGGGCACGGGGTCGAGAGCAAGGTGAAGGTAAAGGAATTCACCTGATGCCAGCACAAGGGATGGACATCTCTTTAAGGCCTGTTTAGGGACAGATAGTCAACATCCTCTAAGAAGCTACAAGGTTGCACGGTAAGGAAAGTTCTTCAAGCTTCGGGAAGTCCTTTCCTTCAACAGTATCACATTGGAAATTGGTGACATGTTTGCAAGGATAGGGAAGACCTTCTCGTGTCTGTCTGATGGAGAAACTATACAAAACTTGAGATGAAGCTCAAGTGACTGCTGAGGAAATTTTATAACTTTTATTAGAAAACTAAAAATGATTTAAAATAAATGAACTAAGATTTCTGCTCAAAAGCCTAGAAAAAATAGCAAGATAGACCCAAAGATGTGAAGAAATAAGATTCAGATCTTAGCTCTGCTATTTATATTGGCTAAGAGAGTTTGGGGGTAGGTTAAGTCACCTCTCTATACCTCAGTTTCTTCAGCTGTAAAATGGGTATGATAATAAAAGCATCCACCATCACACAGTTACTGTAAGGATCAAATGAAATACTATATGCAAAAGTGCTTTGTGAGTGGTATAACATATTATTAGAATTTTCATGGGCATGGAAAGGTATAGCATGTATATACAATCCTATTTTTGTAAAAAAACCAAAACATATAATACATAGAAAAATCTGCATGAATAGCTACCGATGTATTAAAATCCGTATCTATGGCAGTATTTCTCAACTTTTTCAAAGTAAACTCCCTCCAGAGTCTTTTTAGAATTTTCTCCCCAAATCTTGTTCCCCAACAGAATTTTAATACTACAGATATACTGTGTATCTCTCTATGTATGTACTGTATGACTATTTGTGCTTTATAGAAGAATAAGCTTTTCTCTCCTCGAGGACCACTTTTTGTCCCCTTATGGGCTGTATTGTGCCCATTGAGAATGGATGGTGTATGGACAGTAGAAAATGCAGATTTTTCTTTGTGCTTCTTTCATATTTTCCTTTACTTTCCCCCTTTATTTCTTGCTGTTCACGTCCTCCTTCTTCCTTTCCTCCTCCCAATTAACATGTATTCCTTGTGTAATTTAAAATATCTTAGTGATTATTTATTTATTATTATTTATTTATTTATTTATTTATTTATTGTGATTTAAAAAAAATCAAGATGGGTGATAAATGTACAGGATACTTCCAGACCCCTTCTTTATATGTTAAAAGTTAATACAGGTTAAAGGCTCAGAGCATCCTGGAATCAAACTGCTTGAATTGGAATCATGACAGCATCTCACAATTGTGTGACCTGGAGCACATTGCTTACCTTCTTAAAGCTTCAGCTTACTCATTTTCAAAACAGTGATACCTGCAGTGTATCCCCCTAAAAGCGGCTGACATTAAATCATCATTCATGCCAACTTGGTGGGTGCTAACCTATTTCCACGGCAAGAAATGCATGTAACCAGGGGTCCCCCCCCTAGATAAAATGCCTTAACCCTCGGAAGCTGCTGGAAGGTAGAGAATTTTCGACACTACAGCAAAAAGGAGGCTTGTCTTGTTCCTTGGGCCTCAAACTGTGTGGGCGTTTATTTGCCTACTCTTTTCCATCCTTCCTCAGCCTTAATTAAAAACCTAATTTCTCTATTACCATAACAATGAGTGAAACAACAACTAATTTGTTTCGCCAAATTAATTCTCCTTTTGGGAACCTGGGAGAACATTATTTATCAGAGCAGCAGACAGAGATTTAAAAATGGAAACATCTTTCCAATACGGATGCCAAATTCAGAAAATGATGGGGCTAATATTTCAATGTTTGAAGGTCTCTTGGAGATTTGTTCACTGCGGTGTCCCCAGCACCCAGGACAATGCTGGTGAACAGAAAACACTCAGTAATTACTTGCTGAATGGGTGAGTGGAATTAGTATCACCAAGATCTCACTCTTCACAGTTTTAGCTATTGCTTGCACAGAGTATTTACAAGCAGGTGCAAGAATTTAATTTGTTTTGATGTTCCATTGGATGTTTTGTGTATTTCCGCCTGTTGGCAATGAAGAAAGAACAGGTTTACCTTTTCATGCACAGTCAAAATGAACAAACTCCTCTAAACATCATTCTATTTGCCAGTGATGAAATGTTTCCAGAGAATGAAAAACACAAGGTATTTCCAACGTAGGCTCCAAAGTCACGTTTTTAAGGAGATAGGACAGTGTCATGGGATATGATAGCACCTTAGGGATTAACCTGTATGAGATGGTGAACTCATTATTTTAGGTGTTAAGGTAAATATTTTGATAGATTGGAAGACTCCCTCATACCTTCTTTTTCTACTTTATTTTTTTTAAAAACAAGAAAATTAAAAAAGAAAGAAAGAAAGAAAGAAAGAAAGAAAGAAAGAAAGAAAAGAAAGAAAAGAAAATTTATAAAACCTCAAAATTGTATCCAGAGGGGAAAGGGTTAGAGATAACTTTTCCAAGACACTTTTATTGTATTACAATTTCATCTTCATTTCTCATTTTGCATATCTTAAGGTTTATTCTGAAGAATTACTGAATGGAAATAAAACGCAATTATATATCATCAATAAAGAAAAATTTGCAACATGGGAACTAGCACCTACTCAATTTCTATTATTAGCCCAAACCTGCAGAGCAGAAGGAAACAGGGATAAGGATGGGGGGTGGGGGAGAGCTGCAATGCCTCCTTCCCTGTGTGTCATCTCTGATGGGTAAGGTTCAATAATTCTTATATTTTTGTGACTAGATTTTTCAGAGCTGAAAATTGCTGCCACCAGCTATGTTTGGGCTTTTGCTTCAGGCACTCCTAGGGTGTGATTTAGGAACTATTTCCAACCCTAATGGGATAATTTAGTATCCAGTCCCCAAAACCATGTGGTCTGCAGCTCTGTCTTGAAGAATTACAGACTTTCAGAGCCAGGAGGTAAACAAAACCCAAACAAAAAACATTCAAAAGATACTGTAGTCCAGTGGCGTCAAACATTTTCCGAGCAGCAGAACTTACTCAAATGCAAGTTTCTCTGGAAGCTATAGCAGATAATGTCGGGGCCCCATCCAGATCCCCTTAAATCTACTTCCCATGGCTTAGGTGCACCTTCATTTCCAATGGCTGGTACTGCCCCTGGACTAGCAGAGCCTGCTTTGTCCATACTGGTGGAAAAGCTGAAAATTTATATCCTTCTGGAGTGGCCCTTAGCAATGATTCATCAGTACAGGAAGATGAGAGCCTAGCTCCCTTGCCACAGGTCATGGCGACTCTGAGATGTAACTTACACTCCAGAGCTCCCCGTGGGATCAGGCTGAGGCTGCTCTGTTAATCACAACTTTTCCTTGGCTTTCCCCACTGCCAGGTCTGGCTTCTCCAACTTCCTTATGAGTTTCCTTAGAAGTCGCCAGCACACACAATTTTTCACCTCAGGGTCTTTTCTGGGGACCCCAACCTAGGACAGAAGCCTGACATATACAAATGGAGTGAGTGACATATGGGAGGGACATTTACAGACCATCATTGTGTCGAACTTCTGCACTTTCTTCTTTCTCATTGTTTCAGTTTCGCTCTCAGAGAGAAAATCAAGGCTGGGATGGTGGAAGGGAGAGCGGAGGGGAAAACTTCATATTATAAAGATTCTAGGTAGACGGTGCCCTTTAAAAGCCTATGGAAGACTTTGCTATTTCAGGAAGTGTGTTGCTGGCAGCTGACACTGCAGGTTCTGAAGCCACATCATTTATGCTGCCCTGAAAGTCACCTGTAGCTTCAGCTGACAGTTTCTGAACACCCTCATGCCTTCATCCCTTGAGCCCCTGTACCTCTCCCTGCTTCTGGACTTCCCTGGCCACAGAAGTTACCAGCCAACACACAGGGCAGAAGTACCGGAGAAATCATTCTCCCAAGATCAAGCCTCAACCCAGGGCAGTTGGGAGTCAGTGAATGAATAAATATCTCAGCCTCTTCACCCCTTGCTGGGCTGGTTGTGAAGTCTAGGTTCTATCCTGTCTCTCGGAGAGGTCCTGCCAGGATTGAGTTCCAAGTGCCTGTAATTGTAACCTGTTCATTTGCCCAAACTTTTTTATGTGTTTCTTCCCTTCTTGCCTCCTTTCCTCACTCCCTCACTATGTTTCCTTGGATTATCTGCCAAACGAGCTACCCTTGCCCAGGTCTGCAGCTCAGGGTTGGCTTTTGGTGGAAGTCAAAGCAAGACATTCAGTCTGCAATAGACCCAGTCAGAGTCTGAAATTGAGGTCAGGTCTCAAGGAAAGACAGTTGCCAAGAGCCAGGGCTGTGCATGTGAATGGGAAACAGGGAGCTGGGATAGAGGCTGCCCCAAATTTAACTCAGGTCTAGCCTGGTGATGGGAGTATCACAGGAAACAAAAGCAGAGGGGTGCCTGGGTGGCTCAGTTGGTTAGGCGACTGCCTTCGGCTAGGGTCGTGATCCTGGTGCCCTGGGATCGAGCCCTGCATCGGGCTCTCTGCTCAGCGGAGAGCCTGCTTCTCCCTCTGCCTGTCACTCTGCCTATCTGTGCTCTCTCTCTATGCTTCTGTCAAATAAATAAATACAATCTTAAAAAAAACCAAAAAACAAAAGCAGAAAGCTAGCTCTAGACTGGGCAGTCAAGGTTTTGGTCAGGGGAAGGTTATAGTTGTAGACCTCAGGAGAGCAAGACTAATTCCTGATGTCACCAGGTGGCGGTCTGGAGTTTCTCACACATCCCCACCTTGGTCAGGGCTCCCTCCGGAGCCAGGGATGAGACTTCCTGGCCTTGTGCTGAGCACAGCTGGAAATGGGTAGCACCTGGGCACCCCTGGATGGTAGCTTTTCAAAAGGGCTGTCAGCTTGATAGATGGGTTTTCCAGGATGGGAACTAGGGTGAACAGTGGTGCTAGGGTGATGGGTTTGAGTCAAGAACAGAAGATCTGAGCAATCATAAAGATGCTGAGACACCTTCGCCTGTTGAATTTGACTTTGTGACCTTGTTGAGGGCAAGTCATTCCTCTGTGGGCTCTTTTCACAGAGGTTAATATAAAAATATTTAACTACCAGTGAGACACAGGCACTGACCAATCAAAATGGCCCTTGTTTAAGTGACTGGAAGGCCTTCCTCTTAAGCACCAGTCCTGCTAAGGGCAAAATGGGGTCAGTTTCCAAAGCAAGGTTTATGGGCAGTGGAAGAATTGAGTTGAGTACAGCTTTCCTGGGACACATGAAGTTGCCCCCACCCCTCTCTGTAAATTACAGGCGTGATTGCAGGAAACTGCCCAAATTATCTGGAATTGTTGCCCTGTTTCTGAATCTCTCTACTCAGACCTGGGAGGATAGAGCATGGCAGGGGGAGGAGAAGATCTACCTTGGAATCTCCAGCATTGCCATACACAACCTGTGAGATCCAGGTTCCTTACATTTCTCCAGGCCTCAGTTTTCTCATTTGGGGTGTGTGTGTGTGTGTGTGTGTGTGTGTGTGTGTGTGTGAGAGACAGAGAGAGAGACAGAGACAAAAACAAAGAAGTGGTGGTGGGGGGGCCTTCATGCTCCAACAATAATACTACGGCCATCATTTGCAGAGTGTTATGTCATAGGCCTGACACTGTCTGAAGTACTTTTCTTGCATTATTTCCCTTAATCCTCACTAACAGCCTTATGTAGTGAATATTATTTCCATTTTACAGATATAAAAACTGAAGTTCAGCTAGAAGGAGATAGAACTGGGGTTTGAGCCTAGATCTATTTGACGTCAGATTCTGAGCACTTAACCACCAAAGCACACAGATCCACACTGTGTTTCAGTGATACTCTGTGGGTCCAAGTCCTTATACAAGGTACAGCCTATCTGCTTTTCTTTAAGGATAACCAGAGTGCCAAATTATAGACTAACATAACAGAGCAATAAAGGATAAATAATTGTAGTTCAGAAGGATTCTCCAGTGTATGCAGTAATTCCTATGGCAGGGAGATGTCCTTGGGTACCAAGTTTGCTCAGAATTTGACGTGCAGTTCTGTTTCCATGGGATTTTATTTATTCCTCCCTTATTACTCATTTAAAGTAATGAGGATGATTTATATTTATGGATCTCTTTTAAGAAACATAGAATCCTTCACCATCTCCCCCAAATCTCAAACCCTCCACACAGGGGGTTATAATCCCTGTTGCACAGATGGGAGAAAGAGAGGTACAGAGAGATGAATGGATCAGACCAAGGGCACTGATGGGGGCAAATCTGGGCCTAGAATACACAGACCCTACATTCCTGCCTGAGGATCCGTGGCCGCTTCCTGATGCTTTCACTAACTTAAGCCTCGAGGAGGATGAAACTTCATTTGAAAAATTTCCTGCAGACTCTGCATAGTTAGTGTGGAGCAGATGCCTGGCCTGATTAAACTCCCCAAAGAGTAATTTTTCTGGTGCCCAAAGGGCAATTGTTTCTTACCCATTTCCATGCAGCCTTTTAGCTACTTAAATTTCCATAGAACTTTGATAAGAGGGGAGATAAAGCATGCTCCTAGGCAGCCCAGCAATATTTTCCAAACCTGTTGGAGAAATAGAGCCTTTAGGGACCTGTTGTCCTCTCACGGTTGGAGGAGATTCCATAGGAGTTGTGCACCGTTGGGTAGACAGTTACTTCCCAGAGGAATTCTTTGGAGGCCAACGGGTGGTGGAGAGGTGGGGCAAGATTGGCTTTCTGGTGGCCTGGCTTCATTCAAAGATGTCAGAAGTCCTGAAGAAATTCTGGCTTGCTTCTGTAAATGTCTCTTGTTCTGAAGGGTCCTGGCTTATGCAGGGGCTGGTAGTGGGAGGTGGTGCTCCCTGAGAAGGGCAAGGTGGGCAGGGAGGGAAGACTCGGAAATGGTAGGAAGTTTCTGAAACCCGTGTGGGCTGCTCTGTCTTCATTTCCAAACCCAGAAACCCCACAAGCATAAAAGGGAGGTGGCTGGATCACAGGAACCAACACAGAAACTGGAAAAAGTTCTGGGACTGTGAAGGTGGTAGGGTCACGGGGTGGGGTGACAGTGGCAGGGCAGGGGTCGCAGGTGGCTTTCCAGCTGTGCCTTTTCTCTCCCCCATTGTCTGGAGAGGATGATGGCCCTCTGGGTCATTTTTCACAGGGCAGGAGGAAGTCCCACCAGAGGGAGGTCCAGATGGCAGAGGAAGTGCAGAAGGTACCATGTGCAGGTGGTTTGGCAGTCTCCCTCCCCTGATGGAGTGAGCCTGGAGTGCTCCCCGGGCTCTGAGAGGTGCCCCTGGAGGAGCACCGTGGGAGCCTTTCATCTCCAACCAAGTGGATATACTAGTGGGGGCAGCCGACCACCCCAAGGTGAGCACTCTCAGGGAACAATGATAAGACCTCTGAGAAGAGCATGTGCTATTAACAAATACAACAAAGGGAGCAAATTGGGCAGGAGGAGCAAAGCTAATGGAACAAGAATTTAAAATAAGCATAATAAATATCCTCTGGGGGATTGGGAAGTAGGAATAAACATCTATGAAGAAAACGAATTAGAGATAATAGGCATGAAAAATAGACTTGTTAAATGAGAGCACCCAATGGGTGGGTTGAGAAACACTGCAGATTGAGCTACAGAATGAGGTATGGAGAGGGACATTTGGGTCAACCCTCTGACAGAAGGTGTCAGAAAGGGAGTGAGATGGAAAGGACGAGATAAATCAATATGGAGGCCAACATTACAAGGGTCGACGTTTGTTTCTAAGACCGCCACCAAGAGGGAAATGAGTCAACAGAGAGGAGAAAATAAGTCTTTGAAGAATGAGTGACTGAGAATTTTCCAGACTTAATGAAAGAACCGAGCCCTCTGATTGGAGGGGTGCATGGTGTGCCAAACAGGGTAGATTCATGCACACACACACACACACTGAGACACATTAGAATGAAATTTAAATACATCAAAGACAGAGAAAAGGTTCTAGAGATGGAAAACAGATCTCTACAGATGGATCCATTTCAAACAGACATCAAATCTCTCAACTGCCACGTGGGATGCAGGAAGAATAGAGAGCAATGTCTGCAGAGTGGGAGAAAATAACCTTCATACCTAGAATGTGATACACATCTAAGTCATCCCTGAAATGTGAATAGGAAGAAAGACATTCTCGGAGATACACAGTCTCAGATGCATACTACATACAGGCACTTGAGAAAGGGTCTCCTGGAGGAAGCAAGGAGACGTGGGGGCAGTAAGGGTAAACAAATAACTGAGTCCATTTACTGTTGCCTAAGTAGATAACACAAAAAGTGTATATCCACAACCTTGTGTAACTGAAATGTCAGGCCACATCGGCATTGCAAGGGTGTTGGTGCAGGCGGGGAAAAGGGAGAGTGGAGAGAGGTCAAGGGGATGTGGGAGAAGGTCAAGTTCAGCCTTATTCAGATGGAAGACACACACGATGATGTGGAGCTTCTTTTTTAGTGCTCACAGTTGCAGCCTTAGTCAGTGGCCCCTCCCCACTCGCCGACCCTTCACAAAGACACCCAAAGCAGAGTAGGCTTGTCTAACAAATGCCAACCATAATGAGCACCCTTCTCTTCCTCCTCCTCCTCCTCCTCTTCCTCCTCCTTCTTCTTCTTTCTTCTTCCTCCTTCTTGTTCTTTCTTCTTTCTTCTTTCTTCTTTTTCTTCTTCTTCTTCTTCTTGTTCTTCTTTCTTCTTCTTCTTTTCTTCTTCTTCTTCTTCTTCCTCCTCCTCCTCCTTTCTCCTCCTCCTCCTTCTTCTTCTTCCTCTTCTTCTTCTTCTTCCTTTTCCTTCTTTTTCTCCTCCTCCTCCTCCTTCTTCTTCAGATTTTATTTGTCAGAGAGAGAGAGAGAGAGAGCACAAGCAGGGGGAGTGGCAGGCAGAGGGAGAAGCGCACTCTTTGCTGAGCAAGGAGCCTGATGTAGTAGGACTCAATCCCAGGACCCTGGGCTCATGACCTGAGCTTAACCGACTGAACCACCCAGGTGTCCTGCATCCTGCTCCTCAACAGTGACAATGACAACCATTCTGAATCTTGTCCTTCAAATAAGAAAAACTCTGGGACAAATCCATGTCAGGAGAACTTAGGGCTGTAAAGTCTCATCTGACCAGAGGGACTGAGTTGCTCCTAGGTGAGATCAGTGCCACCCTGACTTGTCCTTTGCCTCACTTCCCAGGATGGCCAGGGCTAAGTCGTCTGGTCTGGTGCCATCCTTCTCGTTGGCTTCATCATTCCCGGGGGCTATTTTCTCTGCCCCTGGTCTCCACCCTGCCCTCACCTCCCCAGCCCTTCTCTTGTATTTACTACTGGACTTACAGAAGCTGATCTTTGACACCACTTTTGATGGTTTTTTGTATGATGCCAAGCTACGTTGGTATCTAGGTCTGTTTACAGCAAAGTGGTCGGGAGCTGGGTTCTGGAACCCCCCCATGCACGAGCCATGAGAGATGGAACAGCTGAGAGTTCTTCTCTGTGCTCCAGGTTCTGAATCTGTAAAAGAGGGAGTACTCATGGTCCTTCCACCTGGGGCTGCTATGGGGGGACCGAGATCATGCAAGGAAAAGGCTTCATGCTGTACTTTAAGTGTTCAATAAATGTTAGTGTTTTGGTCAATACTATATCCTTTTTCTGTCTTTTATTTTTCCCTGGAATGACACAATAATCCTAAAATTATGACCATGTGTTACAGACTAGTGACCACCTAAATGACTTGCTGTTGGGTCTTTCTCTGAAAGATAGACAGTGGTCCGGTCCATATTTTAGAGAAATATCTATATATATATATATATATATATACACACACACTCACATACATTTAAATACACACATATACAAAAACATATGCATATACATACACATATATAATATATATATGTCGATAGATAGATAGATGATAGATAGATAGATAGAGGAAGAGACAGAGACACAGAGACACAGAGAGAGACTATGAGCTCCATGAGAGCTGGTTGTGGTGGGTACTTTGGCTTAGAGTCATCAACAGATTCAGTTTGCAATTGGAGTTGTTGCCATGCATGAATCTCCCCAGATACTATCTATTTTTTTGAGCATTTGTGGGTGCTCTGCATGGACCTCCTTTCCAGCAGCTCCAAACCTGACCCCCCTCATTAGCATGATGCTGGCCTTAGGCCCCTTTCTCTCACTTCTCAAAACATCCCCTTTTTCATTCCATGAACAGAGAGAGGACTTTGAGCGTGAAGAAGAACATTAAACAGCCTGCTTTAACGTCCCCCTGGCTTCACAGGGCTGGGGACCCGGTACTCCTCCTTGGTGCCCCTCCTGCACTGCCTGTCATGGACCTCCTGGCAGGTGCCCAGATCTGGCCCAGCTTCTTAGGCTCACCTCCTCCACTGCATAGCACCCCCTCATGGCTCTGCAGGGTGTGAAAGCTGATCCTGGGCTGGCCCAGTGTGAATGCCGTGGCCCTTGGGAGAGGATCCCACAGACGTAGGGTTGCAGAGATGAGCACAGATGCAAGTTATAAAGTAAGGGGGAAGGTGAGTGGATTTTGAAGGGAAAGGACAGCCTGACCAACAAATGTTCGCTCTCCACCTGCCAAGTGGAAGTTGCTCAAACACATGGAGGCTACAGTCAGCTGCACAGCAGGCATCCTGGCCAGAAACTCCTGGAGAGTGGGGCCAGACTTGCCTCCATATTGTCCCAGCGTGGCTCTGTATCTCTGTTTGAATATGCCACAGGCGTTTCAAAACCAAACCCGTGCTGTGCAGCTCCTCCTCTCATCCTCCCCAGCCCAGAGGATGCCTGCTGGCTGCTGGCTGGTAGCCCTCCCTTGGGCAGGGTCTCCTGGAGAAGAGATCCAGCCCTTCTTGAGAGGGGGACCATAATCAGAATATTTAGTGTGATTTTTTGGATACTAAGCCAATACCCAGAATAGTGCCTGGCAGGTAGCAGGTATTCATTCAATAATATTAGTTGAATGAATGGGGAGGGCTTTCAGAAAGCTGGATCTTGTTTCTGTTCTCAGCAAGTCTTTTTCTGTGTAGAGGTCTGAGAGAATTCATGTTTGTATTTCCCTGGGCATTAGTGGCTGTGGTTCACCCCTCCTCCTCCCCCAGCTGCTTTGAGGGGCTGATACAGCTCACAGCAGCCCCTCTTCCTTGGAGAATAACCCTTGGAGTTCACCTTGCCTAGGAGTTATGAATATTCCCATTCAAAGCAGCCCATAGAGACTGGCTTACTGATAAAGGGGTATAATGCCCTTAGCTGCCTCTAGGCTGCTAGAAATCATAGGATTTCTGCTCCAGAGCCCCCATTAATTTCAGGCCAAGGTTAAACTTACTTGAGACCAGATATATTTGCCCCTCCCCTTCCTTGTCCTGCTTCCCTCCCTCCCATGTACTGAATCCCTGTCTCAGGCTCTGCTTCTAGGGGAACCCAGCTAAGACATCCTCCAAGAGACTTCTGCTTTCACTCTGAGCTCAGAACTGTTGAGTTTGGAGGGACATTAGACATCAAACTCCTTTATTTGGAAGACAAGGAAATCGAGGCCCAGTGTCAGGGCTGGGCTAGGAGTAAACCCACACTGAGAGTTTTATCTGGCAACTGCCTGAGATGCCAGGCATGGGAGGCTCTCACTCTGGCCCATAAACCTATATGCTGTGGTGCGTGGTAGAATCCCCTCACCCCCTGATCTAACCTCATCTCCTCACCCCCAGGGTTTCCAGGGCTGGCAGTGGGGGGCCCAATATCTGTACCAAGACAGCTAGAGGGACTCTGTTCACTGGGAGGAGAAAGGCCATTGCTGTTGCTTTCACAACCATGAGGAAGAGGCCAGGCCCACCCCTGGCTGACTGTCCTGGGCCACCATGCTTGGGAGTGGAGGACACCTTGGAGGACTCTAGCTTCCTTTTTTTCTTTTATCATTAAAATCTATCTTCAAATATTACTCAGCAATCAGAAAGGATGAATACCCAACTTTTACATCAACATGGATGGGACTGGAGGAGATTATGCTAAGTGAAATAAGTCAAGCAGAGAAAGTCAGTTATCATATGGTTTCACTTATTTGTGGAACATAAGGAATAGCATGGAGGACATTAGGAGAAGGAAGGGAAAAATGGGGGGTGGTAATTGGAGGGAGAGATGAACCATGAGAGACTATGGACTCTGAGAAACAAACAGGGTTTTAGAGGGGAGGGGGGATTGGCTAGCCCCATGATAGGTATTAAGGAGGGCACGTACAGCATGGAGCACTGGGTGTTATATGAAAACAATGGATCATGGATCACCACAGCAAAAACCAATGATGTATTGTATGGTGACTAACATAACATAATAAAATTAAAAAAAAATCTATCTTCAAAGTATTTCTGTTTATAATCATGTCCATAGTGGCCTCTTTTCAAATGTGACCCTTTTGGTGGCCACAGCCTGGCTGAGGTGCTGAGGGCCCTGAAAGCTTCTAAGAAAGACCCTGAAGGGGTTTGTCCCCCCCTCAAAAAATGTTGGATTCCTAAGCCCAGCACCCGTGAAGGTGACCTTCTTTGGGACTAGGGTCTTTGCAAATGCACTTATATGTAAATTAAAGTGAGGACATGCTAGAGGGGGACAGGCCCTTAGTCCACTATGAACAATATCCTTTCAGGAGAGGAGAAAACAGACACACAGGAAGGACGCCACGGGATGACAAAGGCAAAGGCTGGGATGATACAGCTGCAAAGCAGAGGAAGCCAGGGAGCAACTGCCACCACCAGAAGCTGGAAGGGGCAATGAAGGGATCTACCCAGTCTCAGGGAGCGTGGCCTGGCTCGCACCTCGATCGCAGACCTCTGGCCTCCAAGACTGGGGAAGAATTGATTTCTGTTGTTTTGAGTACCCAGTTGGTGACATTTTTTTTGGCAACACTGGGAAATTAATACAGGGTTGTTTCTGGAAACCCAGGTTACTGTGTACTCTTTATGCTTTGGGGAACCAAGTGCCTAAAGAGGAACCACCAAGAGAAAAGCAGTTAACTGGTATCCCCACTTTGGACACCCCACACCCTGATGGGGGTCCAAATTCCAAGAACGAGAACCCAAGAATGAGTTTTTGCTTCTCCTCGTGGGAAGATTGTGGGGTTGTGAGGGAAAAGGGCTGTTGGGCAAAACAGAGAGCAGAGCTCGTCCTGGGAACGGGGCTACCTGAGTTCTAATCTGGGTTCTACCCCCTGGGGATTGGATGTAACACGCCAGTCTATCTTGTTTTCTCTCGGACATGGCTGAGTTTGGGGATGGACTCTGCACCTGGTACCATAATTTTCTCGAGCCCAAGAAGGCCTGCCTCATCTTTTTCAGGTGGGGTCTTAAAGGACTGCTTCTGCCCAGGTCAGGCTCAACAGGTCCCAACAGTCTTGAGTTCAGATTCCCAGCAGCCACCTTTCCCTCCCTGCATTCTGCTTCCACTCCAGACTCCAGTTCCCTTCAGACCATCTCTCCATCTGCTCTGCATTTGTGCCTCAATGGAACACCCCCACAAGGACCCCACATTGTCCACCATGGTCTCTCAATTTGGCCCTCTTGCCTTTAAAAAAAAATCTGATGAAACTGTTGGTTCATTAGTCTGTTCCATGAATTTTTATATAAGGACTTATGGGGAAATTTCCCTTATCATGCTTATTAAAAAAGTTTTTAAATTCTTCCAATGTTACTTTTTAAAAATTAACTCACTATAACTAATGAAATAATACAAAGTTATATATACACATATATATATGTAACCTTTCTACCTGCATGCCCCTCCATTCCTTCCTTTCCTGATAACCTCACTTCCTCATCCTCAAATTAGCTGTTGGAGAGACTGCTGAAGGCTAATCAGTAGCCATTCTGCCTGGTCATCTCAGTTTAACAAACCTTAGATTTTAGGTATTACAGTGCTCCCTCGCTAAAAGATTACATTTCCCAGCTTCCTTTGCAACAATGTGTGGTCACATATCTAGATTCTGGCCAATGAGATGTAAGTGGAATTGTCATGTGAGAGAAACTTCTCAGAGACCTCCTTTAAAAGTAAGCTTTTCTTTCCCTCTTTCCTTTTTCCTTCTTGCTCTCTTGAATATAATGGCTGAAGCTCCAGCATTTATCTTGGACCGTGAGGAAAAGGGCCATACCATGGGACAATGGAGAAGTGACCCAGAAAAAATCTCTGTTTCTATGACTTTGTAGAGCTATCATATTGGACTGCCTACCTCCAGGCTCCTTTTATGTATGGGAGAAACGAGCTTCTATCTTAAGTCACTTTTTTTTCTAGTCTCTGTTACTCTCAATGAAACCTAATTCTATCTGGTAACAAATATTGGCCAGCCTGGTGTTTCCTTCCACATACTTCTCCATATCATACAAACAGGTGCAGATACATAAACATATATGCAATTTTGTGTGTGTTTTTTGTTAAAAAAATGGTGTCAATAAATGTCTCTGCTTTTAGCTTTTCTTACTTGACAATGCATTGTAGATATTGAAGTATTGCTTATAGTGGTCCAAAAAGAAAATAAAAAACAAAACTGGAAGCAACTTATAAAGGTTACCGACCTTGGCTGATGGACACTCTTCCCAGCTCCAAAGCAATTGGGCTGGAAGAAAAAATAAGAAGAAATTTGATTACATTGGACCATTTCCATCATGAAGGGGTAGCATTTTGTCCTTATTATAGACACTTATTCCAGATAAAAACTGGCCTTCCTTGCATCCAATGCTTTTGCCAAAACTACGACCCATGAACTTATAGAATGCCTTATCCACCATCACGGTATTCCACACAACATTGCTTCAGACAAAAGAACTCACTTCACAGCAAAGGAAGTGCAGCAATTGGCCCACGCTCACGGAATTCATTGGTATTGCAATGTTTTCCATCATCATGAAGTGGCTGGCTTGATTGAATGATGGAATGGCCTTTTGAAGACTCATTTACAGCACCAGCTGGGTGACCATACCTTGCTGGAACAAAGTTTTCCAAATGTACATATGGTCTGAATTAGCATCCAATATCTGGTGCTGTTTCTCCCATAGCCAGGATTCATGGGTCCAGTAATCAGGGGTAGAAATGGAAGTGGCACTACTCACTATTACTGCTAGTGACATATCAACAAAATATTGCTTTCTGTTCCCGTGACTTTACACTCTGCTGGCCTAGAAGTCTTAGTTCCTGAGGAAGTATTGGTGCCACCAGGAGACACAAGGATTCCACTGAACTGGAATTTGAGACAGTCACCAGGCCTTTTTGGGGTGCATGCTTCTGAACCACCCGGCAAAGAAGGGAGTTGCTGTGTTGGATGGGGTGCTTGATCCTGACTCACAAGGGGAAATTGGACCGCTTTTCTACCATGGAGGAAGGAGGAGTATGTCTGGGAATACAGGAGATCCCTCAGGGCATCTCTTAGTATCACCATGCCTTGTGATTAAGGTAAACGGAAAACTATAATGACCCAATCCAGACAGGACTAGTAATGGGAGAGACTCCTCAAAAATGGGTTTGGGTCACTTCACCAGGTAAAGAAGTATGACCAGGTGAGGTGCTTGCTGAAGGCAAAAGAAATACAGAATGGCTGAAGGCAAAAGGAATACAGAATGGATAGTAGATGAAGGTAGTTGTAAGTCCCAGCCATGATCCCATGACCAGTTATAGAAACAAGGCTGTAATTGTTATCACTATTTCTTCCTTGTTTTATGAATGTTTGTGTGTGTATGTACGTATATTAAGCAAATATTTTTGTTTTCTTTCTTCCCTTATTTTTCTTATCACATAAGATGTATTGTCTTTATATCAGTATTTAAGTATTGTTAATTTTACATCATAGCATTTAAGATACAGGATATCAAGGAGAGGGGTAGAGTGCACTCAAGGAGTTTACCTCGTCTTTCGGGGAAAGGGTTTTTTCAGTGGTATGCAGAATAGCTGTATCATGTTAGGTGGAATTACAACCTTGTCCTTATTCAGATATGAAGTATGGTTTAAGGAGACATGTATAGGTGCCAAATTGACAAGTGGTAGACTTGTGATGGTTAATTTTATGTGTCAATTTGACTGGCCTAAGGGATGCACAGGTGGCTGGTGATACATTATTTCTGGATGTGTCTGCGGAGGTGTTTCTGGAAGAGAGTAACATCTGATTCAGTAGACTGAGTGGAGAGACTGGCACTCACCAATGTAGGCAACATCATCCAATCCACTGGGGGCCTGAAAGGAACAAAAAGGCAATGGAGGGGTGAATTCCTCTCTTGAGCTGGGACATCCATCTTCTCCTGCCCTTGGATATCTCAGCATCTGGTTCTTGGGCCTTCAGACTTTAGGACTTACACCATCAGCTTCCCTGGCTGTCAAGCCTTCAGACTCAGACTGAATTTTGCCACTGGCTTTCCTGGTTGTCCAGCTTACAGATGGCAAGCTATGGGACTTTTTGGTGTCCATAACTGCATGAACCAATTCCTATTGTAATTCCCCTCATCTATCTATCATATCTCTCTCTCTCTCTCTCTCTCTATCTAATCTATCATCTATCATCCATCCATCCATCCATCCATCCATCCATCCCTCCATCCCTCCATCCATCCATCTAGCCATCTATCTACCTATCTACCTATCCCATTGGTTCTGTTTCTCTGGAGAATCTTGACTGATACAAAGACCTATTCTTGATCCTTTCATTGAAAATTGAAGCTTTTGGTCAGGCCCTAGAAAAATAAGCAAAGTTTGGAAAGATAAAAAAATCATGTGTAATCATCCCTGCTACATATTTTTTAAATTAAAAAAATATTTTTATGAAGACATATATGTTTGACCCCAAAGAAGAGAACTTAATTGGCAGAACTTAATTGGCAGAGTTGCGTAAATGGGGGAAAATAAAGGCTTAAAGTGGAAGAAAGCCTGGTAGGCTGTTACAAATACTTGACCAATTGGGTTGAAGGTTACTAGGTATCTAGTATTAGCAGCTGCTAATTTGACATGTGACTCAGAGTAAACCACTTTTCCGGTAGGCCTTAATTTGCCCCCCAAATATGATGGGAAAGTCTCTTGGGACCTCTTTGGCTCAAAGACTATTGAGTTGTCAGTAAGGATGCAAGGCCTCCAGGCAAAGTTCCTAGGTCTGAGCACCAAGCCACCACTGCTTTCCTTTGGGTTGCTGTACAGTACAGATGACTTCACAGACCTTGAGGCAAATGCCTCGCTGCCTCTGGGCCAGCCCCACAGAGAAAGTCTTGAAGGGCAGGTTGAAGGATCAACATAGGGCAAGAAGGATCCGTCTTCTATCAGTGACTTGCTTGGGTGATATTTGTGGCACAAAACAAAATAAAACAAAACGAAGCCCAGGCAAGAAAGTGCTTCTGGTTCAGTGTGGTGTGAGATCCATCAGGGTGTGGTGGGTCCTCAGAGGAGATGCTTGGATGCCTTAGGAGGGATGGGCCGGGCCATCAAGGACTGCGCCAGCAATAGACAGAAGCAGCTTTCAGTTGAGGGAGATAGGAGAATAGAGCAGTAGCAGGCTCATGACTGGGGTTCTTTGTTGCATGTGAATTGGCTGGATGATGCAGTCAGAGAGAAGAATTCACTGAAAGGATACTGGGCAGCTTGTGGTATCCCTGGGATGTCTGGAGAATGAGGTTTTGGGGGTTGGAAATGGACAGAGGAAGGCTGTACAGACAGAACCACGCCAGTTGTACCACACATGCAGACTGGTGGGGATGCTCCTGCTTAGTTGACCACTGGACTCCAGGTGCTATTCTGACAGTGCTCCCATCAGCAGTAGAGGAATTCTCCTCTGTCCTTGCTTCTTTGGGTCACTAACTTCCAACTGGAAGTCTTGGGAGGGTGGGTGGGTGTGATTGACTTAGTTCCAAGCCTAGACCATCTGCCTATGCCCTACCTGCATGGTTTCTTTGACCTCTATGATGGGAGGCAAGACTGATGGGGAATACCCTAAATATAGGAAAACGAGGTTGGGATACCGGGCAGCCAAAGACAAAGGGGAGGAACATATCATTACTGAATAGGCAAAATTAGTTTCACATGAACGTATCAGATCTTTTCAAGGCTTAGAGAAAAGAGACTGAAGGTCAAGTTACAAGGTGGAAAAAGTGATTCTGAGGGCCCTTAAGTGTCCATATATTAGTTACTCCTTAATTAGGATTTGAAACCAATTAGAACTTAGATAAAAAATATCCAAACCCGTACTCCCTATGATTAGCTTGGTTCATATTTGAAGAAGGAAGTGTGACCTGGTGTGCCTTCCCCCATACTTGTTTGAAAGGAGAAGAAATGAACCAGCGTGACCTGGCTCTAAGATCGGTCATCACAAAACTCAGGAGGTCCAAGAGTTTAGCAGCAGGTCAGGTGTCAGGCAAGGAGCTTTTAGCCACTCCCATGGGGCAGGCAGGACAAAGTAACTCCCTAACCCAGTGGCAGCCAGCATGAGGCTATAAACAGTAGACACTTTTATGAGAAGCAGGATCTCTGCTTATTCATCTTCCCTAACCCTGGAACTATGTGAGAAGGTCTTTGGGCACCCTGCTCAGATCTCTTAGCAAGAGGAATCACACCCATATATGTACTTGTCCAAGTGCACACACATGTAGTCTCCCCTAGAGTAAGCCAATTCTTCCTTGAGACCAAGGAAACACAAAGATGGCGGCTGGGTCACGGGTGACCATGAAGGTTTGGGCCTCCAACCTAGGCCTCCTACTCACTCTCTGGACTCTTGAGGAAAAGGAAGAAGAGCTCTAACAGAGAAAGCACCTGATTGTGCCTGGGAGGGCCTAGAGGGGCTTCAGCAAGGGGCCTACCTAAGGGTGAACCTTGAAGGAGGGGAGGACATTGCTGCTTGGGGGAGCAGGAGAGATAGTCTTTGCAGGGGGATGAGCATGGCAAAGTCCCTCAGTGCCCTGCCCTTCTCTTGCAAAGATGGTCAGTGAAGGTCTGAGCTTTTCAGTGATTCACTGAAATATTTTCTCAGGTCTTGCTACTGCTTGCATCCTCGATCCTATGACTTGAAGCCAGGTCAAACAGTAACAGGTATTTATGACAGCATGAGATTTCATACCCAGGAATGCAAGGGGAATCTTGATGATGGAAGAGGTTGCTATGGGACTTTCCTAAGCCACTCTGGGTTTTCAGGAGTCAAGCATGGTGATGATGTGGCCCTCCCAGAGACAGGGGCTGTGCCAAGTAAATGTTTCACAGGCAGTGAGCATGGTAACATGGATCTAGTTGTCAAGTCACAGGGCTTTTCTGGACAGAGAATCAGGGAATTTTCAAGACAGGTAGAGTCTTGGAACTCTTTGAGCTAGGGGCCTAGAGAGGGTGAGATATGATGAGGTCACTCAGCTATGAGTGCAAGAGCAGCTGGGTACTAACAATTTTTTGTGCTACTATGTTTTAGGACTCTTTCTATCTAAGTCAGGGAATTGTGAACAGACCCAGAATCTTGGTCCTGGAATCTTCTGGCACTTGGAGCAGGAGATCCCTTAATGGACTGGCATCCTCACTGGCTGATCCACTGGATCTGGACTGATCCTCACTACCAGCACTAAGAAATATACTGATTAGGCTCACCTGGGACCAGGTAGATGTTAACATCCTAAATCATTGGGATTAAGAATGAGGAAGTGTGGATTTCCATGGAGAACTGGGGAGCTGTTTCTGACAAAAGGGAATCTGGCTGCTTGGAAGACAAAAGCCATAGATGTCCACTTTGCTAGTCTATCTGGATCTAAGTGCTTCCTCTACACAGGCTGCAGGTGCCTTGAGTTTCCTTGACACTGGGAAGCCCAGACTGCCCTTTTTTTTTTTAGTTCCCTGTGGAATCCCAGGCTTGCCTTTTACACTCAGGTGCCCAGAAAGGGCAACCACAAGGCAGTGCCATTGCCAGGCAGTCCAGGGAAAAGGGAGGGAAGTAGGGGAGCAATTGAGTCTGCCATAATATGTCACTCTACCCCAAATGAAAAGATTAAGCAGCTTATTACTTTTAACCACATAACTCATTAAAAGAAAATGCATAGTCTTATAGTCTTTCACTGAGATGAAGTACCTTATTAATGCTTGATACACCTGCCAAGGATGTGAAGGGTAGGCAGTGAGCCTGGTGCCTGGGACGAGGGGCTTTTGGGAACCACAAAGGATGCCCACCCTAGAAAGCCTGAGGGCTTTGGAGTGTACTGTCTCGAACTCTGGGGGCAGCACCTGCTTGGATAAAGGTTGCATCCTTGGGGAAGGATGGGCAGGGCGATAGATATAAATGTATGCGCTTTCTTGGAGCTCTCTCAGGGCCAAATGTTTTCAGAGGCTGTGGTTGAGCATGGTCACTTGGATCTAGTTGTTAGAGAATCCAGGAATTTTTGAGACAGGTGGGGCCTTGGAAATCTTCCAGTTGGGGCCCAGAGAAGGTGAGAGATCTATTCAAGGTCACACTGCTATAAATACAGAAGTAGCTGGGGCACTAACCCGTTTTTGTGCCCCTATGTTGTAATACTCTTTCCATCCGATTCAGGGGACTGTGATTTTTACCGCAGAGATACACAGTTCCTGTAGGCGGTGTGGCTGGTCTTCTGGGTGCCCCAGCACTCTGTTCCCATACAGCTCTATAGCTTTGTTTTATAGCAAGCACTTCTTACTCTCAGCCTGCAAAACTTCTCTGGCTGCAGGGCCTGCTGGTACACAGAGGGGTATCAGGCAGTTAACCATCCCAGGAGCAGCCTGAGATAGGAATTGATAGATAAATATCCCAACTCCTCATCCCTGGGTCTGACCACTCTGAATCATCTTCTTCACTCTTATTCTCAAAGTATCATGGCAGGACCAGCAGCATCGGCACCACTTGGGGACTTGATAGGAATGCAAATTCTCAGGCCCTACCCACTTTGGACCTACTGAATCAGAAGCTCTGAGGTTGGGAGCCCAGCAACTTAATTCAACAAGCCCCCCGGGTGATTCTGATGTGCATTCAAGGCTGAGACTCTATTCTATAGTCTCCTAGAGCTTCCTCCCTTAAAGCCTTGGGAGGCTGCTTAGTAATGTGCCTTGCTTTGTCTCCTCTCACTTCTCTGCCTCACTCCCCACTCCCCTACTGATGCTTTCTGAGATGGGCACCAGACGATGAGCTGCTTGCACTCAAATCCTTGCTCCCTGCTTTCCCCCAGAGCCCAGCAAAGACGCTGGTACAAGGGGCCCCCGACCCCTCTGAGGTGTCTTTTCTCTTTCTTATAATCACTGCTGGTTCTGCAGACAGCGTGGGGGGATGCAAAGCCCTTAATAAGTCCCATCCCACATACCGACATGTAAACCAGCTGGTTCCCACCCAGGCACCAACTAACTACCAATGTGTGGCCACACTACTCTGAGAAACGTACTGGTGTCCCCAGACCACAAAGAGCACTTCCTTTAAACAACAGCAGTCAAGAGCTGCTCTTTCAACTTTCCGGTTCGAATCAAATGGAGGAGTAGCCCTGGCCACCCCACAAAACACTAACTATAAACTCCACATTCGCAGTCACGCAGGCACCACCCTTCCTTAAAATACAACCTTGCTGGAATTTTCCCCTCTTTTTCCTTTGTTGGCAAGAATTGGTGAGAGAACACTCCCTCCTGTTACTGTAGGCAGGGTGGACAAGAATGCAGCTTTCTAAAAGGCCAGGATTTGTCCAGCCAGACTGGGGACATGGGGTGGGTTTCTGCTATGTAACTGAGGTCCAGGGGGCTTAGTAGGCCTGAGGGGGAATAAAAAGGCTAATTGCCTTGATTCTGGCGTGTAGGTGCTCTCCTACAGGATTGCTGATTGTCGCTACAGCCTTGCTCGCTGCTAACTAGCCTCCCTATAAGGCTAGGCATAGAGGGGTTTTCAGGTCTCTAACGCTGTCAGCCGGGAGAGCTTGCAGTGCTTACCTGTGTTAGTTACTTCCAGTGCTGACTGATCGCAGGGTTGCCAGCCTATGGCCTCAGAGCGAGAAGAACAAAACAAAGCAGGTATTAACCGTGTTGCTAGTGGCTACTATAGAGCAAAGGTGGATCCTTCTATTTTTTCCAAATTAATAATTATAAGAAATACCTTTTAAAGGAAATAAACTAATACTTTGCTTCCAGATATGATTGGTAAAACAGACAATTCTAAGAATGTAAGTGTTTTATAATCTCAGCTTTTTGTCAACAGCTTTACTGAGGTCCGTTTTACATAAATATTCACCAAGTGTCCAATTCAGTGCTTTTTAGGAAATTTACAGAGTTGTGCAACCATCGCCATAACTCAGGAGTTAGTACAGCAACTACACCCTCCCCCAATAAGATCTCTTGTGCTAATTTACACTTCATCTCTGTGCCTACCCCAGCCCCGGGCAACTACTAGTCTACTTTCTTTCTCCATAAATTTGAATTGTGGCTGTCTTAAAATGCAGTATTTCTCAGCTGCTGTGTTCTCGTTTGTCCAACTGGAAATTAGACAGGAGGCAGCGGGGGTGATGGAAGACGCGCGGCCCAGGAACCCAGTGGGGACCTGTTCAAATGGGACTGTCACCGGGTATGTGGGGCTGCAGGGGCCTCTTCTTGGGGCGTGGTTTCCTCTTCGGTAAAGTGAGCATCCCAATACCGGCTTCGCAAAGTTGCTGAGAGATACATGACATGAAAGCACATTGTGAGCTAGCAAGGTGGCATTATCCTGATTCGGAGATGAGGAAACCAAAGCTTAGTGGGCAAGGTGATGCTCCAGAATTACTCAGCTAGAAAGCGGTGGACCTGGAGTTTACACTCTGTCGTTCTGGTGCTGAGGCTCAGGTGTTTTCTAGTATACCTCACCGGTCCCCCCAAATGAGTAGCAATCAGGCACGTTTCCAAGTCTCTAAGCTGCACAGACTAACATAATTCTCCACTAAGCTTACTTATAATCGACCTTCATTGTGAACCGAGAGAACAGCAGCTTTTTAAAAAATTTTAAGTATAGTTGACACATAAGGTTACATTAGGTTCAGGTGTACAACAAAGTGATTTGACAAGTCTATACGTGATGCTGTGCTCGCCACACATGTAGCTCCCATCTGTCACTGTACAGCGCTATTACGGTGGCATTGACTGGATTCCCTATGCTGTGCCTTTAATTCCTGGGACTTACTCATTCCATAACTGGAAGCCTGTATCTCCCACGCCCCCTTCACCCATTTTGCCCATCCCCCCATGTCCCTTCCCTCTGACAACCATCAGTTTGTCCTCTGTATTTATAGGAGACTAGCAGCTTTTGTAGCCAGCTGCTACTGGAGATGCCCACATCCAGCTAGCAAGAACTTCCAGTTTCTTCTAGAGTCACAGTTATGCCGTCTGTGGCTTCTCTGAGTTCCTACGTGGCAGCTGGGGCCCAGGCAGCTAAGGCACCTCTCACCCCGCAGGCTCCTTCCCGTCACTCAGCAATTCCATTTCACACTGGTTCACAGCAAGTGTTCTTAGTCAAGGAGGGTCACTGCTTGGCTCTCGGGCTCTGTTAGCCAAACTCTGGGACTCACCTGCCCGCAAGCATGGGGCCACTCCCATAAGAGGCAGCCTCACATTCTACAATCCCGACCTTGGTGACCAGACTCTCAAAGCCATTCTGCCATTAGTCATTTGCTAAAGACTCATCCAACAGGTTTTGTGCCAGGAAACAAAGAAGCCACAGCTCAAGTGATGTCTGGGACGCGAAATCTCCCAGATCACTGCTCAGCTCAGTACATTTGCCAAAATAACTACCTGGAAAAAATAAAAACGTAAAAAAAACCCGAGACGCAGAGCCTCCCTGAAATTCTGAACGTGTCTGTAAGGAGTAAGGCAAGAGGGACTTATGGGATGCTGGAGGCTGCCGTTGGCCTGGTGTGGGTCATGGCCCCCACTCTGGGACTCAGTTTATTCCTTTGGAAAATAGGTTTCTTCAGTTGAGTTTTTTTTTAAGTTATTTTCTTTTTTTTTTTTTTTTTAGATTTTATCTATTTGACACAGAGGGAGAGATAGCACAAGCAGGGGGAGCAGCAGGCAGAGGGAGAGGGAGAAGCAGGCTCTCCACTGAGCAAGGAGCCCGACATGGGGCTCGATCCCAGGACCCTGGGATCGTGACCTGAGCCAAAGGCAGCCGCTTAACCGACTGAGCCACCCAGGCACCCCTTAAGTTATTTTCTACAGCATTCTCCCTCCACCCCTTAGCCCACACATACCAAGTTCTGTTTTTATTCACTTTATATCTCTGGGTTTTATGTAAGATTTTATTAAAAAAAGATTTCCATTGCTAAAAAGAATGGAAAAAGCCTGGGTTTGTTGCCTCCAGCTCTAACAAATAATTTAAGACTCAGTAAAAGATTTCTTTCAAAATGGAGCACCGTCCCTGTGACTGATGTAAAGTAGTGCTTGGCCAACAAGCATTCTACAGCTTTCTTTATAGACAGTGCTTTAGGAATTCACCGATGGGTGAGCCTTCAGAAGTTTTATTTGGAACAACAGATAAAGTAACACACGCCAGGCACGTCTGCGCAGCAGCCTTCAGCCTCCACGTCGATAATCTGCTGTGGTCCTAGCTGCCTCCTACATGTAGGTTGCTGAAGGAGGGGGCTCAGTCCACCAGAAGGAGGCTCAGTCCACTGGAAGGGAGCCCGTGGAATGGGCACAGCACGGAACAGCAGAAGGTGCTTTGGTGAAGCCACACTAACGTTTTGGCCAGAGATCTGTTTCTTCCTTCAGACCCAACTTCATACCAAATTCATCCACTTTCAGTCAAGGGTGTGTGCAGGGCTCCCTTGCTGACCCTCCTGGGAGTGTGAGCCTATGTGTGAGTGTGCTTGGTGTGTGTATGTGTGTGACAGAGACAGGGCTTGGGAAGGAGGCAGAGAGAGAGAAAGGTACAGATAAAGGCACACAGAGAGAAAAAAAATTCACAGAAATAACGTTACACTGAAACAGACATACACAGACGGATGGAAACCAAACTGGTGGACAGAAAAATAAATGTAAATACAAGAAACGGAAAAATAGAAAGACACACAGAAACAGAAAGAGATGTGGTCAGCCCAGAAACATTTGTTGACTATAGCTTAAAAGGGATTTTAGAGAGTTACGAAACATTAACAAACATGACCTATGGATTGTATTTAGATACTGATTTAAGGAATTAATGCTAGCTTTTCTGAGTGTGCTAGCAGGATCGTGGTTATGGTTTTTACAGAGTCCTTATCGTTTAGAGGCATCTGAAATATTTATGGGTGATGTCTGAGCTCGCTTCAAAATAATCTAGGGAGGGGGGCAGTTGGTGAGAATGTCCATGATTGTTGAAACTGGGTGATGGGCACATGAGAGGTCCTTATTTTATTCTGCTGCTTTTGTGTGTGTGTGAAATTTTACATAATGTGGAATTAAAAAAAATTTGTTGAATGCCCAGAATGAGTCAGGCATTTTGTGAGAATGGGGGCAGGGAGAATAAGACAGAGACAGAAACAGACATGGAGATGGAGGGATAGAGACAAAGACAGAGATAGAAAAAAAAGCCCCAGAGAGACAGAGGAGAGAGAGAAAGAAATGAGTGCTCAAGGCGTGTGTTAAAGCAGGCTTCATCCCAGGGATACTGTGATATTGACAAATATCCCAGCATTCCTTGGGCAGGCTAGGTTAAAACCCAGATGACTTGGACAGTAGTCAGTCCACTCACCACCAGCCAATGCAAGTCTTCAGCTCCTGGCAGAGCCTCCTGTACTGTGTTTCTGGGAGTCTGCTGGGAGCTCAAGCCCAAGTCCACTCAGCCACCACATGGTGTCCCCAGGCTCCCAGCCTCTTTTGCTGGCCCTTGGCTCCAAATGCTGCCTCTGTGGGGCACCTCTGTCCTTCCGTCTCACTGAGCACTGGGGTTTCTCCGGTCACAGCTCCTACATCTAGAGGGCACTCTGATGCATTGTGGGCACCTCCATCCTGCCCTCCCACGGGTCACTGCCACCTGTCCTGGGCATGGCCATACCTGTTGCACATCTCCACCCCTGCCAGTCTGTGCTTCCATCCCACTGCAAGCCTAGACAAAGAAAATGCTAGAGTCTCCACGTGACAAAATGCACCGCGGAGGAGAGTAGGGTGTCTCACGCTGCTAACTCACATGGAGCCCGAGAATGCCAGATCTGGGCTGCTCTGGCTCCAGCACTTCCCAGCTCCTCAGTCAGCAGCCCTTTTCCCTCCCACTCACGGTGCCCTGTCTGTCAGGACAGACCTGAGTCCGTGGGGCTGGGTGGGACAAATCCCAGAGAAAGTCACCACAGGCCAAGCTGACTGCTCTTCAGATGGCTTCCCTCCCTCGAGGGTCTGTGGTCTCCAGAAGTCTGCCCCCTGCTTCCCACCCCTGAATGTCTTGAGCCAGACAGAGATGGAGCTTGGCAGAAAGCAGATCCCTCCTGCACGTACTTATCTGAGCGGGGACACTGCAGGCTCTGTGCTCTGTGATGTCACTTGGCTGCACGTGCCTCTTCCTGAGCCCCATCCTCTCTCTAGGGTCTCCCTCTGCATTTAAAGTCAAGGGGACACCATGAGGCTGATGGATGCTCAAGTCCCCCCAGACTTGGTCTTCTGAGTCCTAGGAGAGGCAGAAACTTCCAGCAATGAAGGAGTGATTCCTAAAACCATTCTCTGAGGGCAAGGATGTGGTGCATGGGGATGGTTTCATCTTAAGGTGGGGATGATTCCCTCCTCTTTCTTCCTTTGTCATTCACTGGTGGGGTCTCTGTACGTGTTCCCTTCCCATGTCTACATTTTCCTCTGACTCCTACCAGTAAGACCTCTCCTCTGGGAAGCAGGCAGACCTGCTGGCCGCACTTCCTCAGGGAAAACGTGCATTCCAAACTTTCTCTGCCTGCTTCCCAGACCACGCTCTCTGTGCATCTGGATGGGAATTAGGGAGCAGGTTGAGGGCTGAGGCCAAGAAGCCTGAGTCAGGGGTGGATGGAAACTGACTCAAAGCTGATGGATTACCCTAAAAAAGAAGGGGGGGCATAGCAGAAAAACTCACCTAGCTTCTGCTTAGATTTAGCAAGTGTTTATTGCACATCTAGTGTAGGTGAAGCATTATGATAGGTGTTTGCACATCCTATGAGATGAATGGTACTATTTTAATAATAACTATTATTACTATAATAGGAGCTAGCATTTATTGAGCATGTACTATGTGCTTTCACACATAGTATCTCATTTAATTTTCACAATAATCCATCGAGGTGGATACTTTTGTTACCCCCCTTTCACCAATGGAAAGTGAAGTTTGGGGAGTCCCGCATCCCACCTGTGTTGCTACCTTATTGCTTCAGCCCTCCTGACTCAGGGATTGAGCTAGGGAAGGCTCAAAGGCTCTGCATGTTGTGGCCCTGTAACTTGGAGAAGCCTCTGCTAAGGTTCTGATGCTACTTTTACTTCCTAAGGCAAACAGAGGGGAACAGGCAGTGAAGAGGCTTTCCCTGTTATCGGGAGAGCACGCCAGTGCTATCTGAGACGCTGAGACCCCGAGCCAAGCAGACACCTCTGCCTCATCCCTCCCGTTGCTTAAGCAAGCTGGGACTCCATCACCCCGCTCAGCCAGATGGGTTTTGATGGTCCCCACCAGGGCTTATGTCACTCAGCTGCCTCAGCATTGAGACGAGAGTCACCACCACTGGGCTCAGGTGACCCCTAACCCTGCCATTTCTCTCATCCCGTCTTGGACGGCTGAGGCTTACCGTTATATTTTACTCCACCCCAAATTCAGTCACCCTCCTACTGCCTGTCAACTGTCTCTTCCCCCGAAGAGATTTTCCAGATGACAGACGCGCCTTCCAGCCCAGCAATCCCTTCCAAATCTAGCAGCCTGAAAGTCTATTGACTCCCCATCTCATCTCCTCATTGCTCCTGTCAAATCAACCAGGGAGAAGTCCAGGCTGTTATTAGACACTCTTTAGGTCTCCTAAAGCTAGGTTACTAGAAGTGTGTTTTACGGACCAGCGGCGGCAGCATCCCTTGTTAGAGCTACAGAACCCGCTGAATCGGACATACGTATTTATTTATTTTTAACAAGATCCCAGGTGGTTCTTATATGTTAAGAGTTTGAGAAGGAACGCTAAACAAGTGGTTCTCAAACTTGGCTGCACACTGGAACCACACGCGGAGTTAAAAAAAAAAAAAAAAAACCCACCACCAATGCCTGGTCCCACCTCCCAGAGACGCTGATTTCCTAGGTCGTGGGGTGGGGGGTGGGGGCAGGGGTAAAGGGTTATTAGGAGCTGCCCAGGTGACCCCAGTGTGCAGCTGGGGCTGGCAACCACTGCCTAGAGCACTGGCTCATTCCACTTTACAGGACCTGAATGGAAATCAAGAGGAGTGCCCTACTTGCAGGGGCTTCATCACCCAGAACTCAGGCTGAACCCTCCCAGGACCGGCCCCTCCTCCTGGCTCCCCTCCCCCACCTCCCCCCAGCAGGAAGCAGCAGCGACCACGCTCTCTGGCAACAAACCGAGGGGGCTTCTTTAGCTGCCTATGATGGGAAGGTGGGACGTGGGGACCCGGAAGTTCCAGCTGGGGTGCGTCCATTGTTCGGGAGCCACAGTCCCTGCTAAGAGGGGAGGACTTACTGGTCAGTTCATCTGGAGGTCAAACGCCGGGAAGCGTAAGCGCCTTTCCTGAGGGACGGAAAAGCAATGAAAGCTGTAATACTCAGGCTGCTGCCTGCCTCGCTCTTATAGGAAAAACAGAAGTTTCGGTGGGCGGAACCCGAGGAGGCGCGCTGCGGACCCTCCCGGCGGCCCCGCGGGCGGCGGAGCTGCAGCCCTGCCAGGCGGCTGGTGAATTGCGCGGCCGGCGGCAGCCACGCCCCCTGCAGCTGGGTCCGCGCGCAGCATTCACCCCTGCGGGGCCCCCAGGTCTCAGCGGTTTCCTCCGCGTAGCTATTTTGGGAACAGGAACTGGGCTGTTTGGGTGGAAGAGGGGTAGCCAAGCGCCTGGAGGCAGACGGGCCGGGGGAGAGGGCCAAGGGCTGGGCGACACCGAACAGAGGCAGCTTCCCCTGGCCTCGTTCGCTCGCTCGGGCACAAAGACGCGGTCACATGGCCAGTGGGGCTGCCACTTGAAAGAGCTGCTTGTGCCAGCTTCAGGTTTCAGGGAGCCAGACACAGGAAGGACTTTCTGTTTTGTTTTGTTTTAAAGCAACAGGGGCTAAGGCCAAGTGCATCTTCAACTCCGGAATGGGGTCTACGCAGGCACACAAGCCAAACAGACTTCTCCCGAGTTTGTTTTTCTGACACATTGGAAACCACACGGTTCAGAGAAAATTCATCTCACATGCTGGGGCCTGCTTTCCCGGAACGTGTCCCGCGACTGCTGTGTCAACACTGTCACACTCAGCAAGCTGCCCTCCCGGTGCGATGGTGTGATTGGCCAAGGGAAAAAACACAACCCAGACTGGGGAGGGGGGTTGTGCACAGTTCAAAGGGAGGGTGGACTTCCAATTGGACAAGGCGCTTCCCCGATTACACAGTTGTCACTGACCCTTCCAAAGGCCACCGCTGCATCCCCCCTGGGCTCCCTGTTCCCAGACAGGGCTGCATCTGTGTGCTTAGCTGCTGACTCTCCTACTCTTGAGGCACCTGTGGGGAGGGGATGTGAGTCGGGGGGATGAGGCCTGGGACTGAGGATCCTCCTCAGCTTCTCTGAGATACTCTGCCAGGAGGCGCCTTGGCTTAAGAAGAAGGGAGGCTGGTATCTTGGAGGTGGGCCATGTCAGACTCCAGGTTGCTACATCCTAGCTGTTTCTCTGAAACGAGGAATTGTGTTTCCTCCTTTTGGAGACTTTCTAAGGACGGGGGGCAAAGGATGGTGGAGGTGCTAACCACCGGGTGGGGACATCTTAGGTGCTCACTCAGCGCGGGCTCCCCCTTACCTGTTTGTCGTTGGAGCCCTCTTGGGTATAATTTGAGGCCATAGCCTCTTCCTTCGCCTTCAGGAGACCAGAAGACAGCTGCCCCTCCATCGAGAGCATTATGGGTATAGAAGGTCACAGTTACAACAGCTCCCCGGGGAACCAAGTACAGCAACGGAGCTCCTTGTCTTTCCCTCTATTCATTAAGCCCCAGGACCACTGGGCAGCAGGAAACTTCTAGTTCATTGCCGTGATTCCAGTCATTTCCAGGGTCCACTCAGGATCTGTAGTTTGCAGTTTGGTCACAACACAGTCCAAATGATACTGTGGGATTTCTTGCCCCTTCCGGTTCCGACTAAGCCCCTGGGAGTGGGCGGTGGGTGGGGGTCTGTGGTGACAGCTATGTGTTGGGAGGGAGCAGCCGCCTTGTTCTCTCCTGCCTTGGGTGCCTGCCTGGAGGGTGGTGGCCAGCAACTCCATACAGGTGGACCGGGTACGGGCAGCCCTATCGAGGCCTGTTACTCAGGTGATTCATACTCTGGGTGTGGCCAGAGGGTGGTCTGGTCTCCAAAAAGCTCCCTTAGAACCAAATCAGCCATGCTTCCCTTTGGCCCTCACCATACAAGCTGCATCCCCTTTTGGTGTATGTCTCCTTGAATACCTCCTTCACGGGCAACTTCCAAGGCAGCATGCTGGCTCTTGCCACTGGGGGATATGGTCCCATCGAAATCTTTTCCACACCACACCGGGGCTGGGGAAAGTGCTGCCGGTCTCCTTCCTCTCCCCCACATCGGCTCCCTTCCATTCTGCTGGCTCCAGCTAGCTAGCTGAGTGAGACCACCACCTTTGGAAACCTCCAGAAGAGAAACAAAAGGCCTTTCTCTCCTCTCTCAGGATTCCCCAAACCTCATGGAGAAACCCTCTTCTATATCTTGCTCCTTACTCCGATGGTGATGATGATAATGGTGATGAGTGTGTATATATATATACAGTGGGATACATGGCTTCTCATTCTGGATCTTTAAACTCTGCTGTCTTCTATTCAGGCAGAAGGAGAACCTGGTTTTGTCTCCTGGCACCTTTTTGCATCAGTATATCCAGTCTCAAACCGAGAGCTGTGTTCTTTAGCAACTCTGGGGTTAGGGGTTTTGCTCCCCATGCTGGGGGTATCTCCGAAACAATGGATGGTCTTGATTTTAGTTTCTAGTGGCTGGAGAGTCCCAACAAAGAGTTATGGGGGGGGGGGTCGAAAGAAAACCCATTTCATCAGTATTTCACGTATCGACCAGCCACAGTTACGTAATTTTGAAGTTAACTGGTTTCTGCTCCCCTTGCAAGTTGTCCACTAGCCACTGGTGGTCATCACGTAGTGTGACCTTGGGCACTGCACTTCAAATCCCTGAGCCTCGATTTTCCAAGGCTGGATCATCTTGGAGGCCCCTTCCAGCTCTCAATTTCTAACATGAATGTGTTTGGGATTCTGGACAAGCCGCTGTATGCTGAGCCTTGACGTCCATATGAAATACAGTGAGTTCTCATCAGACTCCAATTTCTTTAGTGATGGAGAGGAGGTCTGGTATAGATGCAGTATAACCCACTGATAATCCAAAACCCCACATTAGCCTTTGGTTTTGATCTCATGTATTAGAAGAGCAGACAAGCTGCAAAATTGACCAATTTGAATTCTACCTGTCCCTTCCCCTTCTATCCTCTCAAAGACATGCTAATTTGATCTGTAATGTGGCCAAAGGGCAGACAGTAGAAGGGAGGAGAAGCCAGAGGCATGAAAAATCCCCAAACTGGATCATCCACCCCCTGGATAATGGGCAGTTGCCTGAACAGAATGCTCAATGAGCACTCGTCCCTTTTCAAGCCAGCCCCTTTCCCCATGCCGCAATAGCTATAATCTCCATGGCAAAATGCATTAAACTGTCGAGCTCCTTAGACAGATTCCACCATTCCTCACTCAATTCACAGGCAGGCTAGAGTTTTTGAAATTAGAAACTGGTTTATTGCCATTTCAAAGTAGCAGAATTTAAAACATCTTACGAATGGGGCGCCTGGGTGGCTCAGATGGTTAAGCATCTGCCTTTGGCTCAGGTCATGATTCCAGGGTCTTGGGATTGAGCCCCACATCGGGCTCCTGGCTCAGCAGGGAGCCTGCTTCTTCTTCTCCCTCTGCCTCTCTCCCTGCTCATGCTCTCTCTCTCTGTATCTCTGTGTCTCAAGTGAATAAATAAAATCTTTAAAAAAAACAAACAAAAAAAACCATCTTACCAAAATGCTAGTCTCAGGTGGGGGTGGGGTGGCCCAAGGACAGGGCTTTCTGCTGTCCAGACTAGTAAAAGCAAACAAACTTGCATAAATCTTCATGTTTGCCTTCATAATGATAAATCTTGTTGAATGAATACTTCTTAACCCATGAATGTACCTGACTTGTAAATATTACTGAAATCCCACTTGACTTCCACTGGTCTCTCTCTACACCATGATCTTTTTTTAGGGGGCAGAGGTACCCATCCTTGCTAACCATAATCTCTATGTATCTCAGTTCACATCTTTGAGAAGAAAATCTGATTTGGCTAGCCTATGGATATACTGCCTTTGGGTCAGATGAGGATGTGTCCATTGCCTGCTTTACCCAGAGTCCCTGCCTGGAAGAGGCTGTTCCATGTACCTGAAAACTCTGAGCACGGTACTTGGACTAGAAGTGAACATGTGAGCTGGTCAGTGCTTGTAAGCCTCTTGGGCTCTATGGTAAGAGACTGGACCATTCACGTGCCAAAACTCATCCCCACTGTGGACCCTACGGTCTGCATGAGTCTCTGAAGGTCCCTCAAGCTCTAATGTTTTATGTCTTTCCTAAGCCTAAAGACCCCTCTAGTGTCTCAGATCAGAGTCCAGCAGGGATGAGGACTCACCAGGATAGAGTGCTTGCCTTGGGGCAGGCTGGTAGCCAAGAGGCCCTACACCAGGATGGAGGTTGGTGGAGAGAGCTTGGATTCAACAGAAGTGCAGAAAAATCAGGGGCCAGGACTCTGTTGACCATGACCCCCAGGAAGGGAGGACAATCAAACCTCAGGGTCTAGGCTGCATAGAGAAGGAAGCCAAGTCATGCCTGGGGTGAGAAACAAATGATGGGAGGATGTGAAGGTTTCAATACCAAAAAAGAACAAGTGTAATTCCACGTGAGTTCAAAACCTTGGGTGATAGATGTTGAGCTCAGAAATGAGTATAATCAAATTTAAAATTCCTCAAGTCCTGAGATGGACAGGGATTATGTTGTTAACTTGGATGTGGGTAAATTGTTTGGAAACCCTATCAGTTAGCTTTGCTGTGTATCAAATGACCTCAAAACTTAGCAGTTTAAGACAACCATCAAAGTATAGTAGAGTTGGGTATAATAGCACCTCCTAGAAAAGATTGTGGGGAGGGGGCAGGCAAGGCTTGGATGTCTAAACCACTGTTGAGTGAACAGTCCTAGCAATGTGGAAGGCCAACTACTACTTTCCAAAGGAAGCCCTCCATTATAAGACATCTTTAGATGCTAGAAAATCTTTCCTTGGGTCAAACTGAAATCTGCCTTTCCTGCCATTTCTACCCGTAGGTCCCAATTCTGTTCATTGGGCCAGAGAGAGTAGCAAATCTGTGTCCTTGACACAGTCAGAGCAGAAGACTATGAGGTGCTAAGGTGAGCAATCTTTTTCATCTTCTGGGTTACATTCCTTCACGTGCTTGAAGATCCTGATTGGATCTCTCCTCTGCCTTGCCACATGACCAGCTGCACACAAGTCCCCATTGTTCTAAGTTCCTGACTCAGTTAATGAAGTTAATTCTCCTCTGAGAGGAGAGGCAGAGATTCACCAACCAGGAAGACAGAATTGTTTTTAAATCCTCTGAGGATCACCTGCA